CTTTCATTTCAGGGAACATCGAGGAAGGGATTGAGGAGAATTATATGGGATCTATGTCATGTAAATGGCATTTATTTTGTTTTTAATATTGTTGAGTTATATTGCTAATATTAAGTTTAAGCTAAGGGAAGAATCGATATTGTTGTGTCCTCTGGAAAATCATTATTTTAAACTAATTATTACATGATTTGATTCAAGAATAAGGATTTATAACTGTCGCTAGTATAATCCTATCTACAACCCACCTTATACCATATATCATATATATTATGGCATATATCTATGGATTTATCAAAGGAGTAGACAGGATACAGGAGTAGAAAGGAGTGTGTACTCCTTTTTCTATGCTTGTACCGAGGACATTGATCTTGACTTGCACGGTGAATCCCTTAGTTTAGAGTACCAGCATGACTAACACAGTTGAATAATCTAGATTAGCACAGAGTATATTTGGGTTTAGGGAACTAAGATTGACAAAGATTTAAAACTAAATGTTCTATCTAGATATTATACGGAAATTTTTGTTCCATCAGATTTGCATTTTTAAACAAGTTGAATTGTGCATAAATTTATATATTTTATGCAGACAGTTAATTTGATTAATTTTTTCTTATGGCAGTCCCGGTATTGGAAAGTCACAATACCAATATTTCAGGATTATGTAAAATGAAATTTAAGTACTTAGACCATAATCGGAAACGCATTTTACCTACCTGACTAGTTTAATTAGACTAGACAAGATTATTGTTTGTGTGATTTCCAACTCCTCAAATATTCCTTGCCAGTCTCAGTTTTTCTCTTACTAAACTAATGATTGAATTGTTTTAAATTTGTAATCTTTGTAGTAAGTCCTAATCTTAGAATACAATAGAATAGCATACAACCATTCTTTAAAAACATTTTCATTAAAAAGGTCTAAAGTTTACAACAAACATTTATTGAATTCTTAAACTCAAACTTAAAATAATGTACAAGTTCACGCGAGTGATGTCAAGATTGTTGAGCTAAGTAATAAATAGTATATTGCATCGCCTAAAGTGAATCTTTTTGACCCGAGATCAGGGGTTTAAACATTATATATTTTAGATTCAACTCGCATATTTACCATAGCAACTTAATGTTTTCCCCAAATTTATATTTAGCATTTTGAATGAAGTTGAGAAGTTCAAGTATAGGTATCGGGCTGTTTTGTCCATACTGTATTTATATTCATATGGCCACAGGTTTTCCTTGTTACATGTTTGTTATGTACAAAGTTTTATTAATATTGGTTACACATAAATAGCGGTAAATGTTGCTTATTTTGATTCAGGTGCCATAACTTCAACATTACTAGGCTACTAGAATAACACTACAGGATTTTAGGTTAGGTATCCATCGTTGTACTTTAATTAGAGCTAGTTAATTCAACATTGGTCTAGGATTTGCTCTAGTATTTGTGTTTCTAATATCAAAATCTACTGATTGAACAAAATGATTGGGTTATAGTTATAGTCCCTTAACTGAAATTACTACAAATATCTTTATTCGTCAAAATAATATAAATAAAATGACAATAAAAGGAATAATTTAAATAAAACATTGCATTTAGATTTAAATGACAATCGGAGCAAGCCACAGAAGACGTGATGACATGCGGAAGGAGGGACGACCTTGGCATATATTGTTGGATAATTTGAGAAGGAACGTAGCCAGAGGGCGTGAAACCTACCCTCAGTAAACATAACACGATGTTCGACTCACGTACTTCCGTTGGCTTACAACTTCAACAGTATTAATATTAAAAAACTGCACATGAGTTAATTAAAAAAAAAATTAGTAATGACAAACTATAATTTTTTGTTTATGTGGTCATGTTAGTAGGGAGAGTGATATTGCAAAAACCAATGATGACAATGCAGTAAATACTAAGCAATAAAAACACTGACAGCGTATTCACTCTAACTATAAATATTATTTAAACAGTTTCCTTTTGCCAAGCTTTCAGTTAGTGTAGTGAAAGGATTATATAACAAATGCAATTTTTGATCATAAACATTATGCTGAAATACCTGTAGATACACAACTTATTACTCTACCATTCTAATACATACAATTTAATGTTTGATGTAATTAATTTAAATTGTAACATGTTACCTATACAGTCAAGAAAACACCAGAAACTAATTTTAAGAATTAAACGTGCATGTTTATCGTTGTTTCCTACTTATCTGGGCCTAATAGCGATACTTGTGTAAAGGACAAACTTCATGAATCCATAAATATTTTAAAATATCTAAGTCTTTTATCGTGGTAGATGCGTACCAATTGAGCTTTTCAATTATACCAATTAAGTTGATAGTTGTTTATAAAAGTTTTTACATGAAACACAATGGGAGTAGTTTCACAACCATATTTCAGAATCAATGCTCCGACTGAACCATCCAAATTTATATATTCCAGGTGTTATACCCCCGTAATGATAGCTGGGTAAATTTTAGACATATTACATACATGTATACGTGTTGGCTTATTCCAAACAACCGATCCTAGTTGGTGACTTAACCTTGATTACACAAGGAATCAAGAAACACTATGGGAATTAACTTTAATTAATTAACTTAAATCAACAATGAAGAGAACCAATTATGTGCTACTGAAAATCTACAAACTCAATCTACAAATCTTATTTTAATCGTCACTGTTATATGTATGTGGATAAAGAGGAAGAAAACACATAGCTGTGCGAGGTAGAGGAAAGGTGCAGAGTAAAATATCGACAGAAACCCCCGCACTAATGAAGTCGCTACCGCAACGACCTAGACAAGCCATAATTTAATATCAACTTTGATATACTCTAAAACACAATAGTAGTTAATAGTAACCGGCGGGTGTAGTTATCGTAACTCAGTAACTGGTTAACTTGGACGAGTTAATCCGGAGGCCAATGTATTAGTCAATAAAGAAGCCAGTTTAGGAGCCGAGGACTGCAGCAGGAGCCTGTCTAGAGCTTAGTACAATCATCGGTGTAATGGAATACTAATTAGATATTAAATGGATAAATTTATGTGCTCAACATAACTTCGATTAATTTACTATTGCGCCAGGCGTTCGTAGTAAACGCTCCAAAGTAACTTCATGGTTACTTTAGATACTGAAAGTAGACTTCTCACCTTGTACTAATATCGTAAAGGTTGTTTTGATGCCTAGTCAAGATTTTCAGTACTTTGATGATGTATAAATATTTATCTTCATTTATAAAGGTTTTGCAATGTAAATTTGAGTTTATGATCGTTAAAGTTATTGTTTAAAAGAGTTCTCCAAGTAAAGACATTTCTCCTTGTCTTAAAATCGTTTTGTATTTTTATTTTATTTATATGTTAATGTTTTTTAGGTTTACTGGAGTTACAGCTTAGGGGTTGCTCTGAACTAACAGGACAATAGCATAAACCTTCGTTGATTGGCAGGATTTAACCCAGTACTTCAAGACATAAGTCCAGAGCTTTAATTACCTAGACTAGTCAGTAGTCACATCCCAATCTTTGTTTACAATAAAAACTATTTAAACACTGTGTTAGGTTTCAGTGGTGGTTTATTCGACTACCTTGCTACCTTAAGTTTTTTTTTGATCCATCAAGTGTGTTACTTATATGCAATAGAATAATATAACAAACATTTTTCGAACGTTCAATGCGTATTTAAAAAAAAAAAAAACATAAACGGATTCCAAGACGTATATTACTGATTTTTTTATATTTTGGTTAAGTCATTTTCACAAATTATTTTGGTTGAATACATCTAATCTGCCCTACATAAATAATATTAATCTGTAATTTAGATTTATTTGTCTTGTAATATTTATAATAAATGTTTAAAGTTTCAAAAAAAAAAATATATATATATATATTACAATTTAGATTAAGTTTGAAAGTTTAATATTAGTAGTTATTAACGTAAGGCTTAAAGGTAGGAACATTTGTATGTGTATTTGTTTGACAATGATGAAGTGTTTAATGATTCGTAAAAAGGAAATGTAAGAGTACGAGGACGAGTGTGGAATGAGAACTAGATTTCACTCACTCCCAGAATGTGAGGAATTCCACACTTCATTTTAACGCTTCTTCACTGGATTCTGACACCTCTGTAGATATCCTGTTTAGATTGAATTGTGCTGGTTTGAATATTAATGATTCTAAACGGTTAATTCAGCATCATGAGTCATACGATCGCGTGCAACTTTTACCAACAAATTGAACGAAAGGTAAATAAGGGGTTTTCTACCTGTTGGCCTAAACCTTTTTTTGAGCCTCAGTTCCTTCCAATATCCGTACGGTTTGATTTAGACCATTAAAAATAAATTTAATATTTAAATAATATAACGTCATTATGTAACATCATATCATGAATATTGCATATAATCCTTATGGAAGTTGTTGAGTTGTATCTTCTAAAATCTCCTTTAATAATAATCTAATGTGAATCTAGTTCAGAATGAGTTATCGGAAGTCGGAAGTATGTTTAATCCATGGAGTTATCTTGGAGCTGTCTTTACACCTACGAGCCAAAAAAATAGAAAACCTTTTTGCCCAAGCAACTGGCTGACGTTTGGAAAATAGTCTTCCACACGGACAAATTCCAACACCGGCGAAGATTCCTACACTGAGTAATCTCGTGAAAGAAAAGTCTTTCAAAACTGTATATATGTATACACTCAAAGATAGCGACCATCATCAGTTATATAAGCATAACTACCCCATCTTACAAGTCAATGCTTCATTTAATCTCGAATTCGAGGCACGTTTGAAGGGCGGCCACTTAGTGCTAACGATCGTTTACGTGCTCTAACATTGTAATCTAAAACTGCCATGTGGTTAACATTGCTAGGATGACAAGAATGCTCAAGTATTCCTCATCTTCGCCAGCCATCAATGGTCTGTCCAAGCTGAGTCAAGGCAGACTTGGATTAATAGTTTTCTTCAGGGACTCCAAGACAAACTTGGGGCAGTCTTTTTCCTAGTTGACTTACGACAGGATCTCTGCGCTTTACTCTAGTACCAGGTAACAATTTTGAAAATAGTGATACAAAAGAATATCAAAATAGTTTGAAAGATTAATTGATATTGAAGGAACTAAAGTGTTTTCAAATTTAGCAATAAAAATAATATCACCCACATAATACAGATTTGATATGTTAATTTTATTAAATATTTGGACATAGTAAGGCAATCACAGGTGTGAAATCTCACCCGTCAAAAATCTTAGTCCTTTTAGCGTCAAATGTAAGTTAAGGACTTAATGCTTAAGGCCTAAAATACATTGTATTCATTTGCCCGTCTTGGAATTACATTATAAATACGGAGGCGAATAGAATTTTTTGGTTGTATTTTGTATAATTCTATTTTGTGTACCAAACGCTTGCATGTAAAATTTATTTCCTATGCAAGATTCAACGGGATATTTATCGATATTGTAGAACATTCCTATGTACAAGAAGAGTTAATGTTTATGGCATGAATATAACACTTTTTTAGGTATATAAAATATATGAAGGCCTTTTTTGTAATTTTATTATATTCTAATGGAAACTTTAAATAAAAAAATTTTCTCATTTATCTTAGATATATAATACAGTCGTCTCTGTCTCTATGTAGATATAACACTAGCAATAATGCAGCCTGAATTTTAACAAATAAATTGACAACTTTTACAGTTTTAAATAATACTGGTTAGGTTAAAAATACTAACTACTCAGCAATAATTTAATATTAATGCTGTTTGTTAACAGTTTCTTACAATAAATTAATCTTATTATGTTGGTTTTCGTTGTTATTGTAATTTAAAAATTCATGTTCTGTAATGTTTATACACGAATGTTTATACAACAATAAGTAACCGGTATACCAGTTTTGAGCTGAACGACTTCACAAGATTTAGTCATTTCCATCCTCTTATATTAAAATTCCAACAATAAAGATTAATTTAAAATTGATTTGTTAAAAACTCGGATTTTAAAGATGGATTCTGTAGTATAACCTTAAAAATTCTTAACATAAATACATAGATTTATTAAAATTAAATTTCACAATTTAATTTAGTAGCAAATATTTACTTGACTTTAATAAAATTTACCGCTAAGCCAATGTTATCATAAATAGACAGTGGACAACTGAGATGAATTTTGGGTGAGTTTTAACCAAAATTAAGTATTTTTAACTTTTTACTTATTTTTGCTGTAAGTGTGCGCGTCCAACAAAAATTATTTCATTAGAATCATATATTTATGTTTAAAGGAAAAGATAAAGTATAACTCATGTAGACATAATTAAATCAATCAACATATCCCTAGGACTCAGAAGACTGGGAAAGGAAAATGTTTAACTTGAAGAGCCTATAAAATATTTTCTAAGCCCTATTAGTATAACAACTGGTATATATTTTTAAATCATACTATTCAAACCCACAAGTGAATACAGCCCATAACTTCCAACACTTTCAGTTTCTGTAAATATCTCCAGTAGAGTGGTCTCTGCAGAGCCGTTGACCTGATACAGTGTTGCCTTCAGCACTTCCAACCATCAAAGTCTCCGCGGTCTAGGAATGTTGCACAACCTGACGTATCATTCCTCTACTTGTATGACCATCTCCTTGACCTACAGAAGCTGGGAGAGGTCATGGAAGATGTGATTCTAAATAAAACTGTAGAAACAGTTGGAATTGACCCTTATTGCCCTTATTCATTTTGAGTTATAAATTAAATTTTAAATTATGAAGTAGGCTACTAGAGCTCGCGCCGTGGTCGAAAACTTGACCAAAAGAATGTATTGTGCAAACTTTTCTATTTTCGACCCACGCTGTAAATAAAACATGTGATCGGAATTTCTTCCATTTGTTTTGATTTTCTGTTTATATTTTGTTGTTATTTCGTCACCAACATGGCAACCAGTTAGGGCCAAGTTAATTTTTATTTAACTTTAAATTTATTTCTTGTGCTTATTTTTGAGCCTATTTTCATTTATAAAGGGATTCTGCACATATACAGGCAAATAATCTTTCTAACAGTATGCGTAGATTTTCCCTGCGATGCCAAGGATCTGAGAAAAAGGGGTCTTAATAAACTTGCTCGTCTAAATATATAGAATTAGCCCCATGTTAAATCTCCATAAGAAAAGTTTAATTTCCATTTTTGACCCAATTAACATAAATATTTTCAAAATACAAATAAAACCTGCACATATAGGAGCGTTAACCTTTCTTTTGATACAACCCGCGTGTAATTCGGTTTAATAGTATGGTCAGGCTAACTGTCATAAGTTTTGCAAACGTTTTTTAACCTAATATAAGATGGTTTTTTAATTATAACTCAATTGCATAAGTTATGATTAATATAAGCATATTTTACTAGGAACCGTAAATCAGATGTAAGAAACCTAGTGCCAAGGATTATGAATGGCCATGGCGTTTATAACTAGTTATTATGTTTATACGAACCTAAAACTTTAGCAACAGCTGAGTCAAGAATCTTAAATGTATTAAAATTGACCTCGATTGACATGCTTACAACTAAAGTATGTAATTTCTTTCTTTTGCAGCAAGTTATAAAATAAAATTTCGTAAAATGTTGTAGCTTTCTAAATAAATTAAAAAAGGAAAAATACTACGTAAAATGGAGTGAAAAGGGGTTATTAAATGTATATAACCTTATAGAATTGCTAGTCGCTTAGCTCATGATTCGCAACGAAGTATTGACCCGAATCTGAATCTGAAGCTGCTCTAAAAAGCTAATGATCAATTAATCTAGACTTTTAAGCAATTTTTACGGAGAATCTTATCACTATAAAATATATTACCGTAAAAAATAGTAAAAAAATATATTTAATTTACATTTGTTTTAATCAAATGTGTGGCATTGTATCATTTAAACAAATTAAAATTGTAAATAAAGTAAATAAAATGTTATAGTTATTCCTTCGAGGCCAATCAATATGTACTAACCAAAGCCACACCTGGCCTGAGGAAGCCCTCTAAGACAATATAACAGAACAGAATATGCTTATTACAATTTCCAGCACACTACTGCAACTAAATCACGTTCTTTGATACAGGGACTCCCAATGTTAAAAACCTTCTTGTCTAAACCAAATTGAAGCCTGTGTTCTTCGACTATGTATTCACCATTTATTGTGTGCCGTATACATTTCGTATGGGTTCTTTAGTGGAAACGAATAAAAATCGAGTTGTATAATACTTCATTACGCATTGGCGTTAATGTGCATTAAAATAAACTATTTAATATACAGTATATTTAAAAAACTATACAGTATCTTTAGTTAAAGGTGATAATATCGTGAACCCTGGCTTCACTTTTGCAATGAATACTGGGTAATCCGTGATGAAGAACCATAAAAGGGATGTATTTGACTATGTGATATATAGTTCGGCACTGCAGCCTAAATATTTTTAGTATTAGGCCATCACAAATGTGGATTTTTATATCAAATTAGACTTTTAGGGCAAATCGATAGGGGCAAAATAAATGAGATCATAATTGTGTTGTTGACTAAGATAAGCTGCTTTCATAGCCTGAACCATTGATCAAAAGTCAAGGACTAATCAAGGACAGTTTTGTCCGTTTTTAAACCATAAAAAAGCTTCAGTCTTTTCAATGATTAAATTGGCAACCTTCGTGGAATTTATTTTTAAAATTCTACATAACTTCTTAGGTTGTTAGCTATAAGTGCCCACAAAGTTATAATTTTGTGAGATTAATTTTATTCAAATCTGGATCACAAAGTTCTCCGTTTCTTTCCCCAGCCATGTTGGGGGTATTGGTGAGCGTGGTGACGTCAGTCCTCGCATACGTCCTGCTGCTTCTTCTAGTAGTCTGGTGCTGGTTCCAGTGGACCAAATGGGACTTTCTACAAGTTGCCAGGAGGATGCCATCTACAGTTAAAGTATTTCCAATCATTGGGAGCTTACATTTGATGCTCGGAGGCAATGAAGGTAGGAGGAGGATTTGTGGAAGTTTTACTACGGGTAAAGAGTTTTTTATGGACCCACAAGATAAGTTATAGGAAAATACGATACCTTTTCTTTAGAGTATGTCGATATACTTTAATATTTATTTGTTAAAACAAAGTTCTATGCAGAAATACGTTTTAGTTTAATGGACTTAATCCATATGGGTATAAGGTACAACACAAGTAAATAGTCCTTAAAACTACCTTTATTTGGACATTATTTGTACGAATATCAATAAAGAGATGCATTTAATTACATTGAGATAAGGACGCAACGAGGAAAATATGAGTGAAGAATATTATGTATAGGTTCATACACAATATGCAAGGGTTAAACTACATATTTCTTACTGGTTACGAAAAGGTCAACTTCATTACATTAACGAAATGTAACATATAAAATCGTGGAGGGTTGCAGGATTATATAAAATCCCATATTAAGTACTACTTTTAAAATTATTATTACAATTGGTACTTTTTGATGCAGGTTTCACGAGATCAGCAATTATCAACATGTCAAAAGCAGCTGTAAGCACAGGCCTCTATAACGTGTGTGTCTGGCTTGGCCCTCTACCTGTATTGCTCTTTCATAAAGTTGAAGATGTTCAGGTTAGATTTAGATAATCCTATTTAATTTATCTAAACATATAAAAGTAAAAGCTCTCACTGGCTGATTCATCACTAATTCTTCAACTTCCAGACTAGCTAGAAGGCTGAGTTTTGGGAACTACAGTATAATCATTATTCAGGTCAAAAATTGGAAATCCGTCCCGGGACTTTTTTAGCTCACCGTATAAACACTACAAACTATTTCTTCTAGCTACGACCACGTCAAAAAATTTGTAGTCTCGGTCTCGTTGCAGACTACCATGTTCAGAGAGGAACATCTTACAAAAAATATACTTTTCAAATCAAAATCAAATCAAATCAAATCAGTTTATTTCCACAATATATACAAATTTACAATTTTTCAATAAAATAAAATAAAAATATATATAGCCCTGAAGCATTATACAGTAATTGTTAACGTAAATTAATTCTAGTAAAATTAATTTATAAGTTATAAAAGTAAAAACTTAAATACTAGTTGAGTGTTTGCTCCGGCTTGAATAATAACTAATTTAATATATAATGGAAATGAGTCTACATAGACCTCAGTGGTCTGTGCGTAGACTCGAGTTGCTAAAAATTATATATGTATTTTTTGAGCTAATTTGCAATTGAAGAAAAAGTTTAAATAAAAATGTACTAAGTGCTATGGGAACCTGTAAAAATAAAAATAAGTAGATTATATAAAAAATTGGAGTAAATATTAATTAAAATTTTTAATAACAGAATTGTTTAAAGGGGAAGCCAATAAATAAAACGGAAAAGAATTTTGTTGGTTGCAAGAGTTTGCAGAGGGGGTCCGTTTAGTGCTGTCAGACAGTGGCAGGTCGCCTGTTATCAGTAGTGATAAGAGCCTCGGCCTCTTCATCGCTGATATCCAATAACCATCTATTAACTCGATTTTTGAATACACCTAATGTAGGAGAATGAAATAACTGAGTTGCTTTATACATAGTGGAATAATTCCGGAACAAAATATGTGCTATGTAGAAACAATTTGTTTTTGAAAAGGATTTGTGCTGCTGAATAGTAGAAATTCCAATTCTATTTGCATATCTTGTATTATGTGTGTGGGTTATGGAGGTAAAAATTGAATTGAAGTTTTTAAATATAAAAATTAGAAGATCTTTGATAAACAATTTTGCAATGGGGAATATTCCAGTTTCATGAAATAGTAAATCTGAGGGGTATCTTTTACACTTTTTGAAACCAGCTTTTAGGATAGACTTTTGAACCAGAATCAGACCTGTGAGATGTGAACTGTACGCCCCTCCCCAAGCTAATATTCCATAAGACAAAACCGACTGTACATATGCAGAATATGTTGATTTAATTTCTTTAAAACTGAGAACATCACTTAACTGTCTAAATGCAAATATAAGTTTTCTAGTTTTATTTTGCAAGAAATTAATATGCTCTATCCATTTCATATGTGAGTCAAAAATTATTCCTAAATATTTATATGAGTTAACTCTCTCTAAGGTATCGCACGAACAACTGTTATTGAATTGGTTGAGACAACTGTGCAAGATCAAATTGGTTAGGTTATAGTCAGCTGTTGACGCGAGAGAAATAGGCATGAATTTTGTTTTGGAAACATTAAGAGATAGTACATTTTGGTCGAGCCATTTTTTTACTAATTTGAGATCTGATTGAGCTTTACTCTTCACACCTTCCCATGTCTTATCCTTAACATAAATCAATGTGTCATCTGCAAAAAGAAACATTTTTCCGAAAATTGGTAATTTAGAAATATTATTTATATATATTAGGAATAAAATAGGCCCAAGGGTACTCCCCTGAATCACCCCATAGTCAACAGGCACCTCATTGCTATTGACTCCATCTATGTATACGAATTGTCGCCTATCTCTGAGGTAGCTTTCGAACCATGAGAGAGCGTTCCCTCTTACACCTATAGCAGATAATTTTGAAATTAGATGCTTTCTGTCTACACTATCAAAAGCTTTTTTGAGATCTAAAAAAATTAATACTGAGCGCAAATTTTCGGATAGAGCACTAAAAATTTCTTTGTTGATATGAAAAAGAACATCTGTAACATTTTTATCTTTTCTGAACCCATATTGACAGTCTGCTAGGATCTGATTCTGGTTCAAGTAATCCACCATTTGTTCCTTAACTATTTTTTCCAGCACCTTAGAGAATGCACTCAATAAAGATATTGGTCTGAAATTATTTTTGTCTTTGTGGGAGTTTGATTTGTATAAAGGAAAAACTTTTGCCAATTTAAACTTGTCCGGAAATATTCCACTAGCCAAACTTAAGTTTATGATATGCAATAATGGTTTAGAGAGTGAATTTACATTTTCTTTAAGAACATCAGCCGAGACACCATCAAAACCGGGGGCAGACCCACCACGTAACGAGTAGACATGTCTGATAACGTCGAGTTCAGTCACTGTCTGGAGTGTAAACACAGTGTCCTGCCTGTAATCTGCGTCGTTGATGATCGGCGGACCGCTGCTATTAATTGAACTGGCAAGGTTATATCCAACAGAAGCGAAAAACGTGTTAAAATCATCAGCTACAATCTTTCTTACATCAGGAGTGATGTTGGATACGTTTGGAAGATATTTCTGAACTGAGAAGGGGTCTTTTTTATTTGATCGCCCCGCCAGCTCGTTCACAACCATCCAAAAGCGTTTGGGGTTGTTTTGATATTGGTTTAATTTTGACCTGTAGTATACTCGCTTAGAACTTTTAATACCACTGGAAATTTGATGTCTTAAATCACGATATTCTTTATTTAAAGTAGCATTAAACGGCTGTTTTTTAATTTTCTTACTAGTTTTATCTCTTTCCCTAATTAGTTTAATCAAATCATTTGTGATCCATGGCTTTAATTTTTTGAACCTCGATGATTTCTTAACAGATTTTTTAGAACTATCTATGGTTTCATCCATGATTTGTAAAAAACGAGATGCACAAGAGTTAATGTCAAGATCGATAAAAAAGTTGCTCCAGTCTATTTGCGCAAGATTACAGGACAGTAGTGTATGATCGATAATGCGTGTAGAAGTATCCAAAGTAACTGACGGTGTATTGGTTGGAAAAGTAATAGTCATGCCTGTGCTGAAATGGTCTGTAACGTGTGTGTGTAATGTTGCTGATTGTACATTTTTCATGTCGTTGTAACGTATGAACATGTGATCAATGCAAGTTTGGCTATTGTTCGTAATTCTTGTTGGTTTGTCTATACATTGAATGAGACCAGCACCTAACAAACAGTTTAAGTAACTGTCGTTTAAAGAATTAATACTCAACAAATCAAAATTTATATCTCCAGTTAAAATAATCATCAAGTCTTTGCTCAAATGGTTAAGATAATTTTCTAAATCGTTTATAAATAATTTAGCATCTGAATCAAAAGTACGGTATAGTGCTAACAGACAAAATTTGTTATTGTGTAAGTTGAAATTGAGTTGTATTCCATAAACGTCAGCAAATGAGATCTGTGATGCAGTTGCTGATAGTCGATTGTTGAAGTAAACAATAACACCGTCGGCTCTATTTCGTCTGTTATCAGTGAGTACATAGTCAAATCCGTCAATCGTCTGTCCCCCTACCCCCTCCTGCAACCAACATTCTGTCAACACAATAATATCCATCTTGGGAATTTCATTTAAATAAATTAAAAATTCATCAAAGTTTTTGGAATAGCTTCTGATGTTTGTGCTTATGACTTTCAATTCGTCATCACCATTATTGTGTGAGAAAAAATTTTTAATTTCAGAAATTGATTTTAGCTCTAAACAATTGTTGTGGAAAAACAAAGAGTTGTCACCATCCGCATTCATCTAGCAGTCTACGCACAAACCACCTCAATAGCGTATAATGAAATCAAAATACCCCCACCACAGCAAACCTGCAGACTAAGCGAATTTACACTTGCCTGATTTGATTTTCGCATTTAAATAACATTAGGTTTGATGAGTACCAAGGTTTGCTGCTACTGAGAGGGTAATAAAGTGTGTTTTTTAGTAAAATAATATAGCTCTTTATAAAATAAATAGTTTTGCCAAGTTTAATCAAAATATATCTATTAACAAGCTAACTACAACAGTTTACTTATTTTCTATAAGAATAAAAAGAGAATTTTGAGTTAAAAGTTTTTCCATTGTTATCCATTTAAACAATAACCGTAAAACTATTTATTTTTTATTTTAAGCTGTTCAAAAGGTTTAGACAGAAATTAGAAAATCTTATGTCTTGAGGGTCAAAAATGGGGAAACCCCCTGAAATATATGTATATAGGAATATACGCATAGACACAAATTTTAACAAATAGTGTTTTTGGCCTCTGGATACATCAGAATGAAAAGTAAATCGGTCCCGGGCCTAGGTCTTACCGTGTCACCTACGGTAATATCTACTTTATTTTACGGAAATTCGCTAAAAGAGTGCCAATAGGCGAAACATAAAATAAATTATTAGTCATGACATAAACATAAATTCCGCGAATAGTTAATCATGTACGTTAAGAATCAACGAAATATAAATAAAGACATTAGTTGGTTGAATAATTTTTTAAAAAGATAACGCTATAAAATACACAGGAATATGACCCTTGGATGTATATTTTTTTTATTTTCCAGAAAATATTAACTACGTCTGCTGCATTTGAGAAAGCGTCTGAATTGGACTATTTTAAATATGCAGCCGGGAATGGTCTATTGACTGCTCCAGGTGAGTGATAGTGGAGTAGATTAGTATTTATATGCAGTATGGCACTGATACTTATAGGTAGTAACAACACCAATATCAGTAACAGTAATAGTAATACCCCCCGCCACAGCAAACCTGCAGAATAAGTGAATAATTGTGGTTTGCCTAATTGGATTTTCCCTTAAATCTACTAAAATAACATTAAGTTTAACGAGTACCTAGGTTTGCTGCTACAGGGAGGTTAATAATCATAATCACTAACCTTACTTTATCTTATATATATATATATGTGTGTCCGTTAGCGCGATAACTCGAGCAAAAATGATCCGATTTTGATGAAATTTGGTAGAAACGTGTAAACCTACGTTTATTCGAACGAGTTCGAAACCAGCATAATCGGACCATGGGATCAGGGGTTTATGGGGGGTTTTATGGGGTAAAAATGGGATTTTCCCATTTTTGACCCTAAAAACCAAATATTTTACAATTTCTTTCAAAACCATTTTATAGGGCTTAAAAAAGAAATAATTTAGTACATTTGAAGCGCTGTTGTATGCCTAACAGGCAGTCACAAAGAAAATTCAAAAAAAATTAATTTAAAATTCACATGTTATTCTTATGGAGAAAATGAAAACAGTCGTAGTTTACTTGTTCATAGTTATATGTTGATAAAATTTGGCAAATTTATTTATTTAATCCTATAATATTGAGGTATGGTCAAAAAACACTTTTTACTTTCCCTGTAGCAGCAAATCTAAGCACTCGTTAAATCTAATGTTATTAAAATTGGGAATAAATATGTCTTATTTATGGAAATATTTTAGTAAACATGTAATCAGTAAAGTTTAAATTCGTTTAACCTGCAGGTTTGCTGCGGCGGGGATATTTGTTGTTAAATTGTCTATTTATATTGCTTTTCGTGCAACATGTGTAGCTGTTACGTCCTGAAATCATGTATATTTATTCATCAAAACTGTGTTGTTATCGTATTTCATGTTATTATGTTTCATATTATTTATTATTATTTCATATTTATTATAATATTGAATTATTGCTCACACGTAACTATTTCACTTTAAGTCACATTTAATTTTTATCAATGTCAACTCAACTCTCTTGTAAAATGGCGTTTGCCATGCATGTAATAAATAAATACAAAAAAGAGAAATACCCCCGCCGCAGCAAACCTGCAGACTAAGCGAATTTCCATTTGCCTGATTGGATTTACACTAAAATGTCTCCTTAAAAATATCACATTTATTCCCTATTTAAATAGAATCAGTTTAACACATACTTAGGTTTGCTGCAACAGGAAGGGTAAAAGTGTTTTTTATGTAAAATGTTAATATTTAGTAAGAAATAAAAACATTTTCCAAATTTGGGCAAAAAATGTTAATAAACAAGCAAACTACAACAGTTTACTTATTCTCCATAAGAATAACATGGGAATTTTTAATTTACAATTTTTTGAAATTTTCTCCGTAACCATTAGGTGCATTATAACGCTTCAATATACTAAATTATTTGTTTTTTTAAGCTCTACAAAATAGTTTGGAAAGAAATTGCAAAATTTTATGTTTTTTGAGTCAAAAGTGGGAAAAACCCATTTTTACCCCATAAAACCTCCCATAAACCCCCGTTCCCATTGTCCGATCTTGCTGGTTCGCGAACTCGTTCGAATAAACGTAGGTTTACACGTTTGTACCAAATTTCATCAAAATCGGATCGTTTTTGCTCGAGTTATCGCTAACGGACACATATATAAATATATATATATATATATATATGAATTTGAACGGATGGTGTTTTTGGCCTCTAGGGACCTCAAAACGAAAAAAAAAATCGGTCCCGGGTCCAGGTCTTACCATGAGTACTACGGTAATAGCTTATTCCCTATATGGGAAATTCGCTAAAAGAAAATGGGTCTCGGGCCCAGGTCTTACCGTGCCACCTACGAAAATAGCTACTTTTCTATAGGGAAATTCACTTATAAACGGTTGTTTTAAGTGACATTTTAGTTTACATCACAAAATATTCAACATTTAGCTTTGAACGTTGAATACAATTTTATCAATCAACAAACCTTACGTTTCAGGTCACATTTGGAAGATCACCAGACGCCACATTAGCCCTCTATTTCACTCTCGCAACGTAGAGCAGATGATGTCAGTGTTTAACAGCAACAGTAAGGAGATGGTGTCTCATATAGAGGAGCATCCGAACGGTGAACCTCTCGATGTATTGCACCCCTCAATGAGTGTCTCTCTGAAAACTGTCTGTCGTAAGTTATATGGTCAACAATATAACTAACTAACGGTACTTTAACAGCACGCATGGCAGTTTTTAACAGCAACAGTAAAAAGATGATGTCTCTTATATAGGAATATCTTAACGGTGAACTTCACAATTAATTGGACCCCTCCATAAGTGCCACTCTGAAAACTGTCTGTTGTAAGTCATATTCTCAACAATAGAACTAACTACTATAATGGATTCATAGCCTCCTCCAACAGTAGTGACAATAGAAGAATATGACGTCACTTGGGGCGTTTTTCCCCATAAGAATAACATGGTGAGCTTTTTTTAGCCACTAATTCCAAAAATCCTGCTCTCGACCAATATACCCCTATATACATGTTCAATACCATTGTACAACTTCATTACTATTTCAAATCCACATACATTCACATGTATATTCTCAAAATCATCAACTTGACAGTGCGAGGTTTGTACGCGAACTCGGGCGCGCTCCCGGCTCATGGCGTGCTCCCTTGGACATCCTTAGTGGAAATCCACGAGTTCTGGCTACTTGGGAACCCAAGCCATTTGACATACAATAAATCACCCTTCCTCCTAATTACCTTCTCTACCAAATACATGTCTTTATACTTGGTCTTTAACAACTCCTCTGTATAGAAGCCTCCCCTGATTATATTACCATTTTCATCTTTCAAGATATAAGTCACAGGCTTTGTATTCTTAACTTCTGCTATTGTAAATAGCTCACCTGTCCAATTTGGAGTATATCCTTTACTAAAAACATGTTTATACTTGGAAATCCTCACACTATCACCCACCTTATATCTTGGCTTTTTAACTTGCACTACTTTAGAAGTCAACCTCTCATGCACATATTTACTATTCTTAATATTCACTTGGTTAGGCTTCATACCTATAGATCTATGCACCTTATTATTATATTTTCGAATTAACTTTGGAAGTAAATCCAACCATTTATAACTTCCCTGAGCACTAAATTCCCTATATAACCAATTTTTTAAAGTTCTCTGAAACCTCTCCACAATTGCAGCCTTAGTTGTAGAAAAAGTGTGATAGTGATTAATATTTAAGTTTTTCATTAGTTTGCTAAAATATTGATTAAAAAATTCTTTTCCATTGTCAGATTGAATGTTTTTAACCCCCTTTGGTAGAATGGTTTTAATGGCTTCTGTAACCACTAACCCTGTCTTATTCTTTAGTGGAGCAGCATAAGCTTTTTTAGAAAATGTATCTATTAAAGTTAAAATATATTTATTGCCAGAATTTTCTCTAGCATAGTTTTGCATATCAATTAAATCTATTTGTATGGTTTCGTTTATACCCAATACTTTAAAAGACCTTCTAATGAAATTCTTTCTTGCAGGCTTATGAAGTTCGTATGCAATTTTATTCATTTTTTATAACATCATCCTTTCCTGTAACTCTAAATACATCACCATTAGCCCCAATCGATAGATTATCTTCCATTCTTTTAAATACATAGTTTTCTGGTATATATGGTCTATTATCTATATACTTAAATCCACTCAAAGATGTGGGGTCAGCAACTAATAAATCAGGATTGTATTCCATCAAATTAAAATTTTTTTCTCCATACACAAATTTTGATCCATTGTAATGCATAGCTTGTGACATTAGACAAATATCATCCAAATGTTCCCCCTCTGGTAGATTCCTTATAAATTGTTTTTTGGCATCCCAACATTTTTCTTTTTTATCAAAAGTTATGGTCTGTTCTTTTATAACACAGTCAGTTTCATCAATGGCAGGTTTAACACGTACTAACCTTTTATTGTAAAAACTCCAATAGCCTGCTTCCATTTTTGGAACTTGTGAAACATTCACAGCATCTTTACTATCTGTACCTTCTATCAAATTGCTAAGTTTCTGTTTCTTAGCATTCCAAACACCATTCTCTGATTCTAAAAATTCATAATTATTATCATCTTGTACAAATTTACCATCTTCTTTTCGTATTAAAGTCTGTTGTAAAGTGGGCACATCATTTAAACTTTCACCCTTTTCTACATTAGTAATTTTCTGTTTCTTAGCATTCCAAACACCATTCTCTGATTCTAAAAATTCATAATTATTATTGTCTTGTACAAATGTACCACCATCTGTTCGTATTAAAGTCTGTTGTAAAGTGGGCACATCATCTAAACTTTCACCCTTTTCCACATTAGTAATTTTCTGTTTTTTAGCATTCCAATTTTTATTCTTAGATTCTAAAAACTCATATTTAGTTTTACCTTGTAAAAAGACATCACCTTTTCTAGTTAATGTCTGTCTCAAAGTTGATACATCATCTACAAACTCCCCATCTTTAACATTACCAATTTTACGGTTTAAACCATTCCAACTATCGTCTTGTAAATTTAAAGTAGGTTCACTACTAGCCCTGGATTCTGCAGGCTTATTATATGGATTATATAAACGATAAAATTTATCTATAAACATATTTTTATTTAATAAATAATTCCACTTTCTCTCAATTCCTCAATAATGGAATCTATTTCATTATCCACTCCTGAGTTACCGGCTTGGCGACTTAGCCAAAGAAGTCTTAACCTATCTACAAGCTCATTAGGATCATCCCAATAAATATAGTCTATTTTATTACCAGTCACTTGTCTCAAACCTTCACCAACAGATTTAAAAAGAGGTTTAATTATATTAAGATATTTAGTATGTCTATTACTTGAAATTGGTGCACCATCTTTGTAACTCTTTAAATGTCCATTTGTAGCTTCCAAAATCTCTTTATAATTTTGCAAATCAGCTTGAGTATAGTTCTCAGGTTCTTTTAAAGTTAACAACTGCCACAAACCTTTTGTCCCCTTGTAGGTTTTATTTGCAACTGTAACATCATCATTGGCAATATCAACTTCCTTATTTCCAATAAAAAATTTATTTGCTTCTCGTCTAATACCATATGTAGTGTCTGTCATACTACTTTTACTGAGGTAATTTCCTAAATAGTCTGATGCTAAAAGACCAAAATCTAATTTCTGTGGAGTGGATTGCTGTAATCTTGGTATCATTGATATTCTAGATGGAGTCATTGGGAGTATCTCCATTTGAGGCCTCTCTGTTTTACCAATAGATGTGATTTTTTTTAATTCTTGTAATGGCTCTATTAAAGGTTCGAATGTTTGAAACCTCTCTTCAGCCTCTAGAAATCTGCCACGTTTTAAAGCTCTATATTTTTCTCGTATTTGATTTGCAGAGTCAACCAATTCTTGTTGAATGTTTTTCATCTTTTATTTACATTTTATTTATCTCATTTGACAAAGGATTGTACTCAAACACTTTATCATGTATTATCAAACAATATGCAGATGTATTTGCTGGTACATTTTCTGCAGTTTCAATCTCTAATTTAATATCAACAATTCCTTCCTTCACAGTTTCGTTCTGTCTAGAACAGTCTATTACAATTAGTGGATATTTCTTCATAAACTCAGCCCTACTAATCATAGGATCTGGGATAGTATTATAGTAAGTCTCTCTAAACCTCATAAACATCTCATAAGCTTTAGAGACATCTCCATTTTCAAAGTCGAGATTTAAATCACTATAAGGAAAATATTCAGAGTTTAAAAATACTTTGAGATTTTTTAATTTACAGTGATCAAATTCATCAGTTCTTTTTCGTGCACTATTATCCCTAGCTGTTTGGAAACCAAATATAATATACCTAGGCTTCTCCAAACTTGAAGACGTCTTTACTGACCATGTATGTCTTGTGGTATTGGGATATGATGGAAGTTCATGTAACTCTAAACTTCTAAATGCAATTTGCAAATTTTTATTTTGCAATAACATCTTTTGTAATTGTAACTTCTCTCCATCTGATGGTATCACGTGTGGCATTACCCATTGAATTGAGTTAAGTGTAATTTTGGGAATCGTATCAGCAGTGCCACTGGCTGGAGCACTAGTGGTTGTTAATATACAATTCAAATCATTTTTGGATCTTTTCAACACCAATTCTTGTTTGACATTTACTAATACCTTATTAAAATCCTCAAATACACCCATTAACAGCTCTAATGGCAAACAAGTACTAAACTTGCCACCTTTATGGAACTCTTTTAAATTCGTGTCAGAATCAAATGCTACATTTGACAATTTAGTAGTTTTATTGTAAGAGCTCAATATTTTCATAAGCCTAGAAATTCCTGGGTTTCTTACAATGTCTATTTCTTTACCTGCAACTTCGTATCTAATTTCATCAAATAAGAACGCAAATGCATTATTTATAAAATGACCTTTATCATGATTTTCAATTTCTCCCTTAATATACAGATAACTCCTACATGGCAGAGTTAGCAAATCTTGATTATTAATACATATTCGAATTTCATCAGAATTATTTATTGCTAAAGTATTGTGGGGAACATAGGAGTGATTTGTAATTTTAACCACACTATCGTCGAATTGGGATTTCCCTGTAACGTCTAGAAAATCTTCCATTTTTATTAATAGAAAATTTTAACTTTAGTCCTATTGATTTTAGGAACCTAGCATTTTGTACACTTATAGATAAATTCTTATAAATTCTCATATCTTTTTTATATGACAAGTAATTGTAGTTTCTTCTCCGTTAAAGTCAATTGCCTTGTCGTGTTGATCGGCAAATGTAATACTGACAACATCTAAACTTCTCTTATTTACAGGAAAATATATAATATTTCTTGGAACTTCAATAATTTTGTAGCCGGGAGGAGCTTCTGGATAAAAGCTATGTATGGTGTGTGATTTGTTGCCATTTAAATAGGACCCGTTTGCAATATTACATTTTACTCTAATCACATTTACATTATTAATGTTTATTTTATTTGTAGATTCAAAATGAACACCAGGAGTAGAAACACCTTTAAATCCCAATAAAACAGACCCTAAACATGGTTTTGTAAAATCAAACACGTGGTTAGAAAGTAATGTCGCTTTCATAGTTTTATTATTAGCTGTAAGGAAAAAGTCTGGGATTTGCTT